CCAGCCCGCTCCCGTCACAGCCCCACTGCCCCATCACCCCCCAGCCCCTCCCCCCACTCACGTCCTGCAGCAGCTTCTCCATGTTCTCCTGCAGCTCGTAGAAGTAGACGCTGGTGATCAGCCCCGCGCGGGCCTTGGCCAGGCAGTCCCGGGCCAGCTCGATCACCTGGTGGTGGATGAAGCTGAGCGCCCCGTCGGCCAGGGGCAGCACGCTCTCCGGCTCGAAGGCCGTGATGAAATCCTGCAGCTTCTCCTCCATCTGCGCCGTGGCCTGGCCGGGGCGGGGGGGGGATGGGGAGACTCTACTGAGCCGGCACCGGGGGCGGGGGAGGAGTTTACCCCAGAGACCAGGCTGCTCTGAGCAGGAACCCCACTGCCCTCCCTGAGCCAGGGCAGAACCCAGGAGTCCTAGCTCCCAGCCCCCTGCTCTAACCACTATTCCCCACGCCCCCCTTCCCCAAGCCAAGATGGAACACAGGTGTCAGGAAGGCGTCACCTGGCCTGTCGCAACCCAACCTCGGCTAGACCCCCCCAGACCTCTGTCTCTTGGTCCCAGGGGTGAACGAGACCCTGAGGGGAATGGGGGGCGGGTCCCCCCTCCGACCCCCCCGGGATCCCCCATGCAATCCCCGGAGGAAGCAGGCAGCGGTTGTACAGCGTTTCACCACCAGAGGGCTCCCTTCCCAAAGGAAACCCCCCCCAGGGTTCGGCTGGATACCCCCACCCGGGGGGGGGTGTGTCCTGGGGTCCTGCTCAGCCCGTCCTGCCCGACTCCCCTTGCCCAGAGACTCACAGCCGGGAGCTTCGCCCACAGGCGCTGCAGGGACCTCGCTGGCCTCCCCGCTGGCGAATCCCACACCAGGGCACAGGGCTGCCCTGGTCCCCGGGCCCCCACCCTGCTGCACCCCTGGGCCCCCGCTCGCTGGACTCTGCCAGGCCCCCAGGGCCCCACCCTGCTGCGCCCCTGGTCCCCCGCTCACTGGACTCTGCCAGGCCCCCACCCTGCTGCACCCCTGGGCCCCTTCTAGCTGGACTCTGCCAGGCCCACGGGCCCCCACCCCTGCTCCCTGGGCCCTTGTCCCCTGCGCTGCCCTCAGGGCCTGTTCCCCCCCCGCATACCTTGGGAAACCGTTCCTTGTACACATGGTTCATCATCACTATCTCGTTGTCGTAGGAGGAGGGGGAGCGGCCCGGGCTGCAGAGCAGGGAGGGAGGGAGGAGTCACATGGTGTTACATCTCTGTGCCCCCCCCCCACCCCTTGTTTCCCCCCAGTGCCTCCCGCCTCCCAGAAACCACCCACCCGGCGCTGAGATGCAGCCACCTCTGGGGTGGGGCACGGGAGTTGTTTATACAGGGGTCATTTATCCAGCAGCTAAGATGCAGCCACCTCTGGGGTGGAGACCTGGTAGCTGTTACACCAGAAAGGCTTTGCACAAGGGAGAGCGCCCCCTGCTAAGCCCCCGATCCCTCTCCCGATCACCCTGCTGGGGAACTGGGGTCAGCACTGGCTTTGAGAGGAGAGCGCCCCCTCCTGAGCCCCCACTTCCCGCAGCACAGCACCCACTAGCACCTCACTGGGGCCAGCATTGACAGCTGGGAGAGGGCACCCCCTGCTGAGCCCCTTGCCCCTGCAGCGGACAGATTTCCATTGTGACCCCAGCCCCAGGGGAAGGGAACAGACGCTGGGAGAGGGGGAGTCCAGAGGGGATGGGGGCGTCCCCTCTGCTCCTGCAGTACCTGAGGCTCCGGGACCGGGGGCGCACGGCGGGGGAGCGGCGCCCCCCATCGTCGTCCGTGATGCTCTCGGTGCTGCCGAAGTGCTTGGAGAGGAAATGCAGCTCGTCCATGGTGGGCTGGTAGGGCAGCTGGTGCAGCCGCTCCTGGGACGAGCAGGATGACTAGGGAGGGAGAGAAAGAGGAGGGTTAGGCAGGGACCCGGTGCTGAGGTGCAGCCACTTCTGGGGTGGGGCGTGTCAGGTAATTAACCACCGCTTCGGAGAGGAAGTGAAAGAGACTCCCACGCCCTATTAGAACTGCAGCACAGCGCCCCCTAGTGCTGCACCGAAACCAGCCCTGACAGAGTGAGGAGAGCGCCCCCTGCTGACTCCCCGCCCCGCTCCCTGCAGCGCCGCACTGGACCAGCGTTGTGTGGACGCGCCGGCCGGCCCTACCCGCCCGTCTGGGGGGTCGACACTCACCGACACGGTGGAGCTGGGCGTGTTGGTTCCATATCCGGACGAGGGAAGGGAAGCCAGAGACCAGCGGCGCCCGTCTGCCCTGAGGGGACCAAACAGCAGAGGGTGAGGGGATCCAGGCCAGGGGGATCCGGTCTAGTGGGGATCCAGGCTCCAGAGAGCAGCGAGGGCCTCGGCCCCGTCCAGCCCAGCCGCCCCCATGCCGGGGGCTTGGAGCTGCTGCCTGGCTTGTGGGATGGGGGAGAATGGGGCTGAGCAGAGATGCCAGGCAATGCCCCACCCGAACAGCTACATGGGGACCCCGGCTCTGAGACCCGGGGGTCCCCTAAGGGCTCGGGGGTCACACACGGGGCCACTGGGAACGATGGCGGTGTTGATTAACTCCCCTCCCAGAGCCAGGTATAGGACCCAGGAGTCCTGGCTCCCAGCCCCCTCACTCTAACCCACCAGCCCCCACTCCCCTCCCAGAGCAGGGAGAGAACCCAGGAGTCCAGGCTCCCAGACCCCGGCTCTAACCACTAGACCCCACTCTCCTCCCAGAGCTGGGGAGAGAACCCAGGAGTCCTGGCTCCCAGCCCCCCCGC